GCAGCGTTGGAGTTTTTCCACTCTTTGTATATGCCGGGAGCTGTGCCTCCGACCCTCAAGGCCTTGTACATGCTGTTCCTTCTGCTGAGATGCTGCTCCTTCTTTTCTCTCCTCTTAGCTAGCTAACTGTGATTCACCACCAGGCCTCTCTCAAATGTCATTTTCCCTGCCACCCCACTCCCATGGGATCGCGTGCCTCAGTTCTTCCCTGGATTGTGCCTGTTGATTGCTGGGGCCCCAATGGCTAATGCATATTTGGCATATTAATAACACTTGTCATCACTCAGCCTCACACCATGTCAAGATGCATGTCTTTGATGAATTTATATAATCTCTAATCCCAGGAATCTGTTTCTTTTTTGGTAAACTGGAGATAACAGTAGTACTTACCTTAGCAATCAGCTCTGTGTTACCACAACCAAGTAAGTGAGGCAATTAACTTCATAGAGAAAAAAGGTTTAAACCAGACTTGGTGGTGCACAACTTTGATCCCAGGACTTGGGGGTGGAGGAGGAGGATCCATAGTTCAAGGTCAGCCCAGGTTACTGGGTTTCAAGAGAGCCTGTTTCAGAATGGGGGGTGAGGATGAATAAGAGTGAGTTTATCTATCTAAGTTTGGGAGGTCCCATGTACAAAATGAGGTGGCCCATTGGCTTGTCCTCTGGTGATGGGGACACATCGTGACAGGAGCATCTCAAAGCACTGCAGAGGGGAAAGAGGACAGGTAGGGAGGGCCTCATAACCCCTGTGAGACCACATACCTACCTAGTAACCTCACCAATAAGTCCACCACCACCCTGGGCACCAAGCTTTGAACTTAATGTCTGAAGCACACACCACCTGGCAGTCGCTCTGAGGATTCAAGAAATAAAGCAGGAGTGTGACTTAGGACATTGTCTGGCACCTGTTAACTGTTGCCTAAGTGGCGGCTATCATTGTTAGGACTACTTGGAATGCATTTCAGCATTTCACGAAGGTCTCCTTTAAATTTCAAAGTCGCATTCTGATGCTATTAGTCTGTTGTAAGGACAGCGTAAAGCTCAGGGCCCTTACCAGGGAGCAGATTCCAAGTACCTTTCCCTGTGCACCACTGGCAGGTTCCAAGGCCAAGATGTTGGCAACTATCCAAGGCAATTGACCTGGGGAGCCAGTGGACTGACCCTGCCTTTATCAGCTCTAAGCAGTATTCTGTGAGCCTTCTAAATGTCCAATTCTGTAGCAGAAGCTGTCTAAGTATTGGGTGGACTGAGTTCTACTGCCTCCCCGTGGCCACAGGGTAGAACATTTCTTAGCTTGAAACCAAATATAATAAACCTACCACATGAGCTGTAGCTATTGCGAGCCATTTTCTCATTTGACCGTTGTTCTCTGGGTGGATTACAAGTGTTAGAAATGCAAGAGAAGCCGGGCAGTGGTAGCGCACGTCTTTAATCCCAGCACTTAAGAGGTGGAGACAGGAGGATCTCTGTGAGTTGGAGGCCAGCCTGGTCTACAGAGAGTCCAGGACAGCCAGGGCTACACAGAGAAATCCTGTCTTGAAAAACCAAAAGGAAAGAAAAAAGAAAAGAAATATAAATAAACCTAACAAATGGCCCCAAACCCATCCTTATTTTTAACTACCTATATTTACAGTTTATTATCTCATTAAATATTAAGTATTCAATAAAAATAGGTATATATAGGTGGCAAATCAGCATGTGTATTATTATGTAATGTCGATTGCATTGATTTGTTCTGGGTTTTTTTGTTTTTGTGCTTATAGACAAGAGTCTCACTATGTAGCTCTGGCTGTCCTGGAACTCACTCTCTAGACCAGGCTGGCCTCGAACTTGGAGATCTGCCTGCCTCTGCCTCCTGAGTGCTGGGACTAAAGGCGTGTACCATCACCACCTAGACACAAAATGTTATAGAAACTTTTTCTTTAATGTATAAAGTTGTGTGATGCACGGGTGGGCACACACACATGCACACATGGGCACGTGTTAAAGTCAGAAGACAGCTTTTGGTCTGTTCTCTGCGGGGAATAAAGGCGTGCGCCACCACTGCCTGGTTGCCTCTTACACTCTTTTTTCTTTTTCTTTTTTTTTTTTTTGGTTTTTCGAGACAGGGTTTCTCTGTGTAGTTTTGCGCCTTTCCTGGAACTCACTTTGTAGACCAGGCTGGCCTCGAACTCACAGAGATCCTCCTGCCTCTGCCTCCCGAGTGCTGGGATTAAAGGCGTGCGCCACCACCGCCCGGCCATTTTTTATTTTTTAAAATTGGGGCCAGCTTTGAGGATCCTTGAGGACCTAAATCTTGCCAGAGGGAACAGGAACCAGGTAACATCTAGTCTGAAAGAGGAGGCTCAGTGTGGTGACAAAGGGACAGGACCACGAAACAAATGTCAGGTGAGTCCGGCGTGATGGCCCACGCCTTTGATCCCAGCACTTGGGAGGCAGGAGAATCTCTGTGAGTGAGTTCCAGGACAGCCAGGGCTCCACAGAGAAACCGTGTCTCTGAAAAAAGAGTGTAGAATACTTGCTGCATAAGTCCCATGACCTGTGTTTGATTACTGGAACCCCAGTGACGGTACAGAGAACAGACCAAAAGTTGTCTTCTCACTTTACATGTGCTGCGACATGTGTGCCCACCTGTACATCTTTTATACATTAGTTTCTAAAACACTGCATGTCCATGCACATGTGCACATGCCTGCAGATGTTTATGAGCATATTGCCACAACAGGAAGTGGAGCCTTTCAACAGAGCCTGGTGGCAGAGGCCCATTCCGGAGGCTGGGGGCGGGGGTGGGGGTGGGGTAGCAATGAAGAGGGAAGACAACTGGGGGTTGGTGCTGTAACCTGGTGGTCCCCCATTCCACCGCCAGCCTAGCCACATCAGAGCTGGCAGGAAGGGCTGAGTCGGGTAGCTTAGTGCTTGCCTACAATGTGTAAGGAAGCAGAGAAGACCAAAGCATCAAAAAGTTGTGATTAGCCGGGCGGTGGTGGCGCACGCCTTTAATCCCAGCACTCGGGAGGCAGAGCCAGGCGGATCTCTGTGAGTTCGAGGCCAGCCTGGTCTCCAAAGCGAGTTCCAGGAAAGGTGCAAAGCTACACAGAGAAACCCTGCCTCGAAAAATCCAAAACAAAAAAAAAACAAAAAACAAAAACAAAAAAAAAGTTGTGATTAAAGAGCAAAGAGAAAGTAGATGAGGGGCTGGAGAGATGGCTCAGCAGTTAAAAATCACTGGCTGCTCTTCCAGAGGTCCTGAGTTCAATTCCCAGCACCTACATGGTAGCTCACAACCATCTACAGTGGGATCAGATGCTCTTTTCTGACATAAAGTTGTACATGCAGATAGAGCACTCATATACATAAAATGAATAAATCTTTTAAAAAAAGAAAGAAAGATGAGACCCACAACTGGCTGCTCAGCATATCTCCCATATGCACAGGCAAGAGAGGAATTCCTTTCACCGTCTGAACAGTGACAGAGGCCTGGCTCCCTGGGGAAGAGAAGCCAGAGTACCATCCATCAAAGCAAGGATGCTCTGAGATTTAGTGAGGCCTTAAGAACTTCAGTGATGGGGTCTAGCCTCAGACCCCAGATGTCTCAAAGTCAAGGCAACCTTTGATGTTCACAGGAATACTTAGAAACCTGAGGGAAGAAAGTGAAAGAGTTGAGGTAAGAAAAAGAAAAAAGTCATTTAGAAAATTCTCTGAAGCCAGCTCCAGGAACCCAGATGTGTGATAGCTGGTTTGTCTGAATGTGACTAGTTAAAATGACAGTCATACAGAAGTAACTGGATTGCCACAGCACAACTGTCCAGGTTCTGGGTTCCACCACCTTAATTCTACCAAGACTTGTCAAAAGTGGGTCCCCTGGTTAAGCCTGAAATGGGGCTAGAGATGTGGTTCAGCTGTCAAGTACTTACTTACCCAGCATGTAGAAAGCCCCAGGTTGGACCTCCAACACAACATAAACCAGATGGGGTGGTGTGCTCCTAATTTCAGCAATCCAGAGCTAGAAGCAAGAGTATCACAAGTTTTAGGTCATCCTTGGCTATGTAATGAGTTTGAGTCTATCCTGGACTATGTGTGACATTGTTTCAAAAAGTAAAACCCTAAAATGGAGAGGGGGTGCACAAAGAAGTTAAGTGACTTAAGATTATGGTCAAACAAAGGCAAGACTCAAAGTCAGACCTCTAGTCCCACAAGCTGATGCAAGGTAACTGATCCCCCAACATGCCTTCCATAGCATATACCAACTGCAAAGGAGCCCTGCTCAGATGGGAGAGAACTTTCCAGCAGCCTGACTCACAAGTAATAGTCAACTGGTAGAATCATGGAAGCCAAGTTGATCCACGCTTGTATTCCAGCCCTCCCTCTCCCCCGCTCCGCCTTGCTCAGCCCTCCAGAAGATAGGGGCTTACTAACACCTGCCAGTCACCTACTGTGGTGCAGGGCCTGAGCTAAGAACACAAGGGCGGGCAGGAGTTGGGGATCTGTGCGATAAGGAGCTGCCGGGCTGAGGGGTGGGAACTGTGACAGGCCCGCCAGCGACTGTCCTGTACAGATGGAAAGCATGCCACAAGCCCATTGTGAAGGGCCGAACCTTGAAGGGCTGGCTGCTACTGGGAGGAAAGGCTTCTGCAGGGGACGAGGACTAGAAGAAAAGGAAAGGAGCAGTCACGGTCCCTGTCAACTGACTAAGCATACCTTAGAAGAACGGCCTACCCCACTGCACGCTGCACCGGGCAAGGCACCCAGGGTTGCCACAGGGTGCTTCTAGAGTTGGGCAGGGAAAGCATTCATCATTAGTGTTGAGGACATCTTGTCTTGGCCACACAAGAAAGGATCAGAATACCACAGCTGCTTCAGTCTTCCCAGGATACACCTGGCCAGCCTGGTCTACAGCCTTTCAGAAAACCAGTGGCTAGAGAACAGAGGAGATGCTCGTCAGAAGCAGGGTTGCTCCCATAGGCCATGGGTGGGGGTGGAGAACAGAGACCACAAGCAAGGTTGCTCTAGCAGCATCTTTATTTACAAACAGCAATTTCCATTGACTTTATACCATAAAAAAGCCATTTACAAGCAAGAAACAAGAATTCAGAACAAAATTAAGCAGCACTGAAATATTCATGTCACAAACCTAAAGCGAAATGAATACAAGAGTAAAATATCATTTGAATAAATAGTCTTCAATTCATGCTATAAAATAACCCTTAATGGCAAGTTACTAGTTGATACAGCATCCGCTTAGCTAGCTTCATTTACTTCACGTGGTGATGAAGTGTGGCGTTGTGAGGTTACCAGTTTATATTGCAAGATAATGACACCGTGTGAAGTCATTCAAATTGCTCAGCCATTTGTAATGGAAGACTATGGTAGCCCTACTGCTAAAGTGGTAAGAGATGGTTTCACATTAGGGAAACAGTCGTTCTCAGGGGAGGCAGGCGAGTTTACCTCTTGCTCTAGTCAGGGCAGCAGCCTGGGACTTGGTCTCCAAGTCTCCAGGCCAAGTTCACAGCATACTTGTCACTGAAGGGCAGTGAGAGGTCTGTGTGCTCAATCTGCCACTGAGCAGCGAGCGAGGCTTACTCCAGTAGCTAATCAGGAGCAGCGATAGCCCTGTCTGTGCCAGACCCAGGGGGCACCTGGAGTTGGCAAGCCCTGGCAGAAACAGTGGGAACTCTGGCACTTACTGAAGACGACGTATGTGAGTGACAACCATTACAAATCTGGAACAAAGTGAATGACTTCTCTGAACTTTCAGTTCAGCTGCACTGAGTATATGAAATCTAGGATGTAAGAACTAGATAGTCTTGTATAAAGAGTTTACATAATTCCCCAATACTTTCATATATAAAATTTAATAAATAACCCTGACCAGGCTAGAAGCACCATTCAAGGGGCATGAGCCCTTGGAAAATAGTTTAGATGTTGCATATTTGAGTCCCTTTCAGTGGAGGCTTCACAGGAAACCATTACAGAATTTAACAACAACAGTGATAACAAAAACATCACAGTAACAAGTGGAAAGCTTAAACTAAAACACATCAACCTAAGGTAGAGCTCATTCACATGGACCATTTCCCCTAGCCCTTGTTCTGTGTTCCTGCAAATTCTCCCCAGAATCTAGGTTGTTAAAAATTAAAATCACACACAAAAAATATGCAGGCCTGTGTCTGGGCTAAGGGTAAAACAAAAGAGGTGGTTATACTTGCTGTCTTTACAAGAGACATAAACATAAGCTCTGGGAAGACTTTAAAATTACCAATTTAGTCCTACAGTATATTTTGCTTAACAGTGAACTGACAGTATCCTATCTGCTGTTCAAAACAGAGAGAGGGAGGGAGGGGGGAAGGAGGGAGGGAGGGAAGAAGAAAACCCCACCAACAGCCAGGTGGTGGTGGCGCATGCCTTTAACCCCAGCACTCGGGAGGCAGAGGCAGAGGCAGAGGCAGGCGGATCTCTGTTGAGTTCAAGGCCAGCCTGGTCTACAGAACAAGTTCCAGGACAGGCTCCAAAGCTACACAGAGAAACCCTGTCTCGAAAAAAGCAAACAAGACAAAAAAACCAATTAATGAAAAACTGCCAAGGCTTTTCCACTGAACGGGAAATGAACTCATCTTTGTAATTGTATTTACAAACGGTTTCTAAATGTATTTACAGCTTTAGTAGAAACAAGAGGGCAGAGGACTGATGAGAAGAAACGTAAGGACTGAAAACCACATGTGTTAGCAAAAGTATAAAACGTCTTCACAGTTTGTGCAATGGGGTAAAGGTCGTGGGGAAGGGTGCTGTGGCTGTCTTCACATTGTCTAACATGGAAAGGTAGCTGAGAAGAGACTCAATTACGCATAGGCCTGTATGAAAGCAGGACATACTTCACATATTGTTTATCTTAGTGGACTTCTGCATCTGCTATAGTGAGAGGCCTAACCTACAACTGTACAGGGACAGGTTTGCTGTCCACAAGGAGTCGCTCTAAGGAGTTACACAGGGAGCTTCAGGGCGAGAGGCCTGCCCGAGTGGCCAAGCTGGCTCTCCTGGCACACGCTAGGCACAACTGACCGCTGCTGCCCTGTCCGCACGGAAAGCCCTCGGCAGCCATGCCCACCGGCAGGCGCCTAGTGCAAATGCGCAGCCAGGCTATGCAGTGCTGTGCTGGCCTGGGCGCTGCCTCCCTCCAAGCCCCGTGAACTTTACAGTACTGTGTTATGGCTTGAGGATTCATTCTTAACACTGCTAGCAGTGGAGAGGGTAAAGTGTTAGCAACACGAATGGGAGCAAGCGCAACTTGCGAAGTGTGGAATCATGATCATTAAAAACTCAAATTGGTTTTCTGCCCCTAACAGTCCCATTACAATGTTTGAACCTGAACTGTACAATCAAAGCAATGTAGATTTTTGTCAAAGACAATTTTGGATAAGTCACTCTTTGGTAAACTCAAACCAGCTAAACAAGTTGACAAACAGCACAAGAACTAATGTACGTAATTCAGACAGACAGTGACCAGAGCCAGGACATGGGCGTGCTGCCCAAGTGCACCCCTCACCACAGGAAGCCCTGGAGCATCTCAGAAGGCCCAGGCCTAGTGAAAAGGAGGCTCCTTCCCTGAGCTCGACGTCTCACGTCCTTAGATTTGGGGCTTTCTTGTCACAAACTTAACTGGTATCACGACACACGCACACACACACACACACACACACACAAAGTTTTTGCATTTAATTCTCAAAAAGAAAAATCAAAACAAAATGCATTTGTGTAAGGAAAATGAGAAATCACAAACATTTACCTGAAACCTCAGAACACACTTAAGTAGGTAAACACTTGGGGTCCATCCTCCCCTTGAGGCAGTCAGCTTTCTTGGCTGAACACATGCTCCAGGGAGAGAACCAACCCCGACTTAGGCAGTTTGACGAGGAAAAGGCATACTGTATACCCGATTAGCAAAAGCTGCTCCTCCCGGGAGCAGCGGGATTAGTCATCTACAGGAGTTAACACTGAGGCGAGGCAGGCGAGCAGTTCACATATGAGCAGATCCTGTGTGCTAACAAGGTGCCACTGTGTGCCCCGGGGCTGCTACACATGAAGAAAGGGCTGGAGTCAAACTACTATTTCTCAAATAAAAACCAACCCCCCCCCCAAAAAAAGGTGGGTGGTGGTAGCACATGCCTTTATCCCAGCACTAGGAAGGCAGAGGCAGGAGAATCTCTGAGTTCAAGGCCAGCCTGGTCTACAGAGCTAGTCCAGGACAGCCAGGGCTATACAGAGAAACCCTGTCTCGAAACCCCCCCATCTCCCCCCACAAAAAGAGCCACCAACAAAACAAAACAAAAACCACCTCCCCCGAAACCTATCATTTTAAGAGCCAAAAAAGCATTGCAACCAGCAAACATCTATTTCTGTATTCCTTAGCTCCTAGCCTCTGAGGTTGGTCCTCAGTTTCTGGGTTCTGTTTGTTTGAGTCTGGGTCTCGGAGCCCAGGTACTCAGCCAGAGACTAGAGCGCTGCTGTCTCCACAGCCAGCTGCAAACCTGACCCATAAACGGCCTACCAAATTGCCCTCTCTGCCTGAGTCCACACAGCACCAGAGCCATCTGTGAAGCCTGTTGGTGTATATGAACCTAACAGCAAACAGACATTTTCCAAAGCACTGACCAGACACAACTCAGACAGTAACCCGTTTGCCAGCACACGCTTTTGAGGTTTCTTTTCAAGCTGTGAACTTGAGAGGAAAGTAACTAAGTCATTACTACTGGTAGGTTTCACATTTTCTAGACGATACTGACCTAAAAGATACTTAACATAAAAATAGCACCACGTGACCAAAAATGTGAGACATACACACAGATTTGGTGACACACTGAGGATCTCAGAGGGTTTTGACTTCTTTTTTTTAAGCAGGAAACACTGAGAGAATGGAGGAGCCACCGAGGCTCTCATTAGCACACACAATACTAAGATAGATATATTGCTTGCAATTCCCGTAGAGTATAGCTTTACAAAAAGTACAAATTCCAAGTTCTGCAGTTTCCCTGGGAACCGCATAGAAAAAGTTGTTGTGCACCTGAACTGGCTGTTTGAGGAGAGAGAGAAAAACCCAAAAGAAAACAAAACAACAAACCACAACACTACTTGGAGAATTGTGTAGGCAAGTGCTACCAATTCCTGTCCTTTAGTGAGAGTCTAACTCACGGTGGAGCGATCTGATGTAGTTACCTGCTCGGTATGCTTCTACAGTACGGAATGAAGGTAGATTTGTAGTACAGACCTTGAAAACCGCTGCTCCTTTGGGGCTGGCTAGTGTAACACTACTGTGTAGGAAGGTCAGCACCGCACGCTGTCCAGCGCACCCGGACAACGAACAAAAGTTCCAAATGGTTCCCACTACAGGCGAAGGAGTTTTATGGCATTTGGTTTATGTGTTTGTTATGAAGCAGAGCTACGAACACTGTGATTTGCTTTGCTTGCATTTGGACGCAATGATTACTCTATGTGAAAATCTACTGACATTCTTCTGTAAGGGGATCAAAGGGTGGGAACTAACATAGTAGGCGGGGCTGAAACAGAATCAGAGCTCTGTTCACATTGTATTAAATTATATATTCCTCTTACATTCACCTCAACCAGAATAAACCCAAATTTGAGAATGTATATATACTATATATATAATAACCACTTTATTATATATATATATATAAATTGTCTAACTACCCCCAAAAGTAATTTTAAATTAGAAAAGGTTACCCATTTGTATCAGTGGACGGCACCCTCACCTCTCTCCGTGGAAATGCACCGGGGCTAGCACCCACAGTGAGGGTGCCTGCGTTCTGTTTGCAGAGCTGAGTCACTGGCAGAGTGGGGAGAAGCCTTCAGCAGAGGCCCACTGTCAGCCTGTGTTTTCCCTGGATACGCTGCCCTTCATGCTTTGAGCTCCTTTGGGGAGGGGAGGAGGAGGAGGGTAAACACAACAAGTGCCACACCCGGAACCTTCAGAGAAACTACCAAGAAACCAAGAGATTTCCAGATGGTGGGAAAACCAAAGATTACAAGAAAGCAAATCACAAGCACGCACGGACTGATGTGCTTTGTTCAGGGCACCTTTTCCATCACCTTAGTCAGGCGCATCAGATACCGTGTGGATTTCCATTCGGGAATCTAGAGCCATTTCTGAGGCTGACACATCACTTTCGAGTTTCTGTTCCACGTACACATCTGTTCTTTCGGGGGACTCCATGCGACTCCTGACCTCGGTGACACCCGGGTGGTTTTTCCGCAGGTGCTGGTTGAGGGTGCCCTGGAATGGAAAGCACTTCCCACAGACCTCACAGCGGAATGGTTTGTCATCGGTGTGGCCCCGGATATGGTACTCCAGCTGGTCCTTGCGTGTGTACTTCTTCCCACAGAACTTGCACACAAAGGGGGTGATTCCCATATGCAGTCGCATGTGCCTGTCGAGGCTTCCCTTCTGGTTAAAGGATTTCCCACAGTAAATACAGATCAACCTCTCGTTGTATGGGTACCAGTAACCCCTTGCACTCCTCTCCCGGGGACTGCTCTCATAACTGGGATTGTTCATCATGGCTTCACTGTCAGATCCCTGCACCACACACTGCAGGTCACTGTGCAGGTGACCAGACAGAGCCCGCTTTTGGCGGGCACCACGGCCTCGGAAGCAGCTCAGCATGGACCTGGACGGGCTGGAATTACTCTGACCTCCAAAAGCTTCTGGCATGTTGGAAGGCTGTGAGGCTGCCTGGGAGTAGGGATATGCATGCTGGAGCACAGAGCCATAGGCACCCACGTTCACAGCCACAACTTGTTCCCCATCAACCATCTCTGTGTGGTAGCCATCATCCCCTAGGGAGGAGCTGTCGGAACAACTGGGCCGGTCAGACTTCTCCATCTTCACTTTCACCTCAGTGATCTGGCTCTCCCTCACCAACAAGTCCCCTTGCTCGTGGTCCCCTTCGATCTGAATCTCGTACTCAGACACACTGCCACTGCTCCCCCGATCTGAGTGCCCCTCTTCCTGTAAGCGGCTCCGAAGGGCTTTGTTGGGGGTCGTCTCCATCCGGAGATCGCTGCTGACTGGAGGCTGCCGTACCTGAGGGCAATATGGAGGGGAGATCTCAACAGGATTAGCGAAGAAGCTGCCATCTTTCACCCCATTCCGGCTCTCGGGATTCTCTTCAGCACCAATGGTGACAGAGTCAACATCTCCCACACTGATCTTTGAGTGGATGCTCTCCAGGATCTGCGTGCACTTGTCAATGACACACTGCATCTGAAGAAAGCTGGCCGCGGTCAGAAAGCTGACAACGTCCTTCAGCTGCAAGGACATTCTCCCAGTGTAACAGAAGGAGAGCAACTGCTCAAACACGCTGGGGTTCTTAATCACAGATATCGACAAGCCACTCATAGTGCTCAATGCTGAATGGTCTCGGAAATACGGGGAGCTGGCAGCAAGGACGGCTTTGTGGGCTCGGAATGGCTGACCCTGAATGTGGACGATGATGTCACATAGCTTCCCTTGCAGGCGGAGCTCATTTAGTTGGCTCAGAACGGTGCTGCTGTGCTCAGGCACATCGAACTGAATGAAACTGCTGCTGTCCATTTCTACTGACACGAGACGCAATCTGCAGAGACAAAGAGCATCCGTCATTCGCCAGAGCTCCTCAGCAAGATCAAGCAGCGTATATACGAGCTCACATCAACTCCGCAGCTAGCACTCCTAAGGTCTGCCTGAACATTCTTCCTCTTGCTTAGTCTTTATCTTCCATTTCTCCATTAATTCACCTAAAGCCAAATAAGTGAAATTAGTCCAGTGTCATTCTTGTTCAACACTCAATTTGATCAAAGTGAAACATTCATGCATAGGAGGGCTGGCTCAGCTGAGGGAAAGTGGTACCATTCAAGAAAAATCACCATTCACCTAGTGAGAAGGGTCTCTGAAGGACTCTTCAAAAATGTTCCGATTCATATCCTGTCTTGTGCAATTCTCTGTGTGTGGTTTTTGTCTGTGTACGTGTACACATCATGTGGGCAAGAACACATGCGTGAGCATGTTCACAGGGGCCAGAGGTCAACACTGTTATCTTCCTTCTCTATCTTATATAGAGAGGAGTCTCTCGTTGAGCTAGAAGCTCACCAACTGGTCAACAAGCCCAGAATCCATCTGTCTTCAGCCCAGAGCACTAGGGTAACAGGCACATGTCCCCAAGCCCAGTTTGAAATTTTTTATTATTATTTGTGCGTACAGGTGTTTTGCCTGACTACATGCCTACGTACCACGTACATGCAATGTCCTCAAAGGCCAGAATGAAGTGTTAGACCCACTGGGACTGCAGTTACAGATGGCTGTAACCACCCTGTGAGTGCTAGGGATCAAACCTGAGTCCTTAAGAAGAACAGCCAGTGCTCTTAACCACAGTCCCAAGCTTTTTTTGTTTTTTTCCTTTCATTTTATTTATGTCTGGGGTGCCACAGTACACATGTAGAGGCCAGAGAACAACTTTTGGGAGTTGATTCTTTCCCTCACAAGGTCTAGGAGATCGTAGCCAGCTCGTCAGGCTTCAAGGCAGATGCTGAGTTATCTCACTGCCCCCTTGCTCTTGTTACACAGGTACTAGGGATAGGAATTCAGATCCTCATGCTTGTGCACAAACACTTTATTGAACGAATCATCTCCCCAGCCTCCATTCACATACTTCTAATTGGTATCTTTCAAGCGTCCAACACCCCAATCACAATGAATGGAACAAACTTCTTTCCAGTGTAATCATGACTTGGGTTTTCCCCACATACTTTTGTAGGACAAGAGATATCCAATCCCTTGCAGGAAAGAGTTATTTCAGGCAAAAACAAGAAGAGTGATGGGCACACTGCAAGTGTAGGGCCTCCAGTGCTACTAAGAGCACTAGCAGGCTTGGGCCAGGCTGCCCCCACCACCCCGACCCGGAGTCTGTAGCACTGAACCACTCACTCAGAACCACTCAGGAGGCTGGTGAGACGGCTCAATGGGTAAGAGAAGACGGCCTGAGTCCAGTTTCTCAGGACTCATACAATGGAAGGAGAATCCATTCCCCAAAGTAGTCCTGACCTCAAGTGTACTGTGTATGGAACACACACACACACACACACACACACACACACACACACACACACACACACACAGCTGCTAAGGTAAACACAAGACTAGACCTAAGAATTCTAATTTGGTTTTAAAATCCAACCAACAGATTTTGCTTTTTGAAACAGGGCCTCACCCCAAAGACCAGTCTGGCCTCATACTCAGGCTCTTCCTAAATGTGTAGCTTACAGGAGTGCACCGTCACACCTGGCCAACCAGCAGAAAGTGAAAGGCTCTGTACTAAGTACTGAATCAAGAGCCAGGCGGGCCGGAGAGTAAGTCTGCCCATCTCCCAAACCAGATGGACAAATGACAAAGCAAACACAGTAAACTATTAACAGCGGCACACAGCAGTCAAGCAGCCACTGTGAAAACCTGTCCATTGTTCTGCAGCTTTCAAGTTTTTCCTAATAAAATGTTGCGACTGAGAAAGCATCACCAATCTACAACAATAAAGTACAAGGGAAGTCAGTGCCTTAATTTTATCTTAAGCAATAAATAGTGAAAATAAGTGACTGAACTCAGGAGCCTAGAAAAACAAAGACAAAAGCAAGCAAAGTAATTCACTAGCATATAGCCCCCAAGAAAACAATCAGACTGTAAAACAAGTCTAAATCTAAGACTCTTGCAGGAAAGGATCAATCAGTTAGTTTGACTGGATCACATCAGAATTTTCAATCTTGTCAGAATTTGAGTTAAAACATTTTAGTCAAAGAGGAATGTTATGCTTCTATTTATCCTAGACTTCTGACTGAAGTCAATTTGAAATCTGCATGAAATGGACATATTTTTAGGATAACATAAATTGGCAGAACTAAATGAAAAAGACACAGAAGTGCCAAGGCACAAACCATCTCCAGGCCGTTCACACTGTTCTAGACGCGTGTGGAGACATGGAAGGCATTTCAGTGCATCTGGCACAAAGCTGACACCAGAGGCCGACAGGCAGCTAAAAGAAGTCTGCTTCTTCTAAGGCATGCATGGTAAGGCCCTCTGTAAACGCCAAGAATGAGGAACAGCTGGCTAAGGTTTGGGCACTGCTAAGATTACCCGTGGCATCAGAAAGTCAAAGGGAAAACTCGCTTGGCCACGTCATCATCACGCCAAAAATTCATCTCAAAAGTAAACACCCCTTTTCACAGTAAGAAAACAGCAGCCTGATGGTTAACCAAGAACTAGAGCACTACTCTTGAAAACATAAAAAACAGTATCTACTGCAAAGCAGTGACATCATCCTCAGAAAGAATCACTGTCTCTTCCCAAAATGTATTCAACAGAGCATGTGCTAGCCCCAACATCCTTCCCTCCTAGGGATTAAAAAGACATTAGCACAATAACCCATCTGAAAGGGTTCTGCAGACAGCATTCTGTTTAACTCAGCAGTTTGCAAACTCACTTAACAATGGAACTCTCCTCTCAAGGTATGACATTACTATTCCAAAGAATCAGTGCTCCCTGGAGCACATTCTGGTAAACACTCTAGTTAAGGCATCCCATCAGGGCTTCTAAGACAGACAAGGCTTTCTACCACCACCATTCTTTTTTCCCCCTTTCCTTTTTTTTATTTTTTATTTTATTTATTTATTTTTTGAGACAAGGTTTCTCTACATAACCCTGGCTGTCCTGGAACCCACTATGTAGACTAGACCAGCCTCAAACCCATAGACATCCATTTGTCTCTGCCTCTTGAATACTGGGATTAAAGGTGTGCACCACCACACCTGGCTTTACCATAACCATTCTTAACATTGTTGTGTTTGGAACCCTGAGCCAAAGCAACAAGAGAAACTGAGAGCACACAGTCATTTAAGAAAAGATGGAAGCCAGGCAGTGGTGGCTCACACCTTTAACCCCAGCACTCAGGAGGCAGATAGGCAGATCTCTGAGTTCAACGCCAGCCTGGTCTACAGAGTAAGGACAGACAGGAGTACACAGAGGAATCACATCTTGAAAAAAACAAGACAGAGAGATAAAAGAACAAAGAAAAAATGAAATTAGGGTTACATACAGATACTACTTAAACAAAACCCACAAGCGATCCCTTGCTGTTATGTCAGAATGAGGTACGACAACCGGTAATACATCAGCAAGGCGTTCTAAGGAATCTGGGGCCAATAAGATGGGGCAAAAGGAAGAGTATCCTCTTTTTTATAGTGTGCATGAGTGTGTGTGTGTGTGTGTGTGTGTGTGTGTGTGTGTGTGTGTGTGAGAGAGAGAGAGAGAGAGAGAGAGAGAGAACACATGCGGTAGTCAAAGGACGATTGTGGCAGTCTACCTCTCCTTTTACCATGTGGATTCCAGGTTTTGAACTCGGGTCACCACGCTCGGTAACAAGCGCCCCTACCCACTGAGCCATCTCAATGGCCCACTATCTTGATAAGGAGTTTTTATAAGGGCAAATGAAATGTATCTCGGCTGTGAGACAATGCTATAGAGATGAATGCTGTCTTCTAAAATGAATTCATAAATACACTGCAGGCCGGCGGAATTTTTGATAAGTTTCTTTAAAAAACGATTTAAAGCTGGTAGGTGGTAGCACATCTTTAATCCCAGCACTTGGGAGGCAGAGGCAGGTGGATCTCTGTAAATGTGAGGCCAGCCTGGTCTATAGAACAAATTCCGGAACAGCCATGGCTACACAGAGAAATCCTTTCTCGGAAAAAAAAAAAAAAAAATTTAAATGCATCTATTCCAGAACATTGATGTCCAATAATACAAGCCACATTGTTCAGTGTTTTCTAGTAGTTACCAATCCTCCAAACAAGCCTCCCCAACCCCAGCACAGTGTAAACAGAACCCAGAGCCCTGCTAAGTCTCCACTGCTATATAGTACCCTAGCCCACCTAGCAGTTCTGCTTGTGAAGTAAAAAACAAAAACTATTTAGCCCATTAAATTTAATTTAGCCCAATAGAGTAAACATCATCACACGGCATTTTAAATTTCTCAACGTTCCACACTGACTCTTGGCTACACTGGGTTCTAACTCACTGGTGAGTGTGAACTGGGAGTCTGCTGTGTCGGCACAAGCAACCGGGGAGTTAGACTCCTTCCACCATGAATGCTGGTTCGGACTAGCTCATCTATAGAGAGGGCGTGCTCACAGAGGGCCACGTGAGCAAATGCTGCTTTAAATAAGACCAAAAAGATGCATGAAGATTATCAAGATCTGTGAGGTGTGGGAGTCCTGCAGGGAAGCAGTCCCCACAGAAGGAATCACATGCGTCAAGAGATGCAGCCAGAGATGAGGAAGGAAGGACGTGCTGCAAGCTCCTGCTTCAGCAGAGACAACGCAAGGGGCAGAGCGGGGCCACAGAAGCTCAGTAGAGATCAGCCATTTCAGGGGCCATTTCAAGGAAGGTCAATTACTAAATAGAGGTGGCTTGGGGAATGTGATAAACTTCATGGCTAAATCCTTCCTGGAGAGAAGACATGTCCAAGTACAAATGTGGAGGTCTAACTACAGAAGTAAAACTTTTTTATCTTGGAAATGCTTACAAAAGCTGGGC